AATGATTCAGTTCAATAAACATATCATCAGCACATGCCACGGCATATATATGCATATCAGATGCATAGGACTCATCCGCCAACATCTATCTGAGAACACCTAAACTCATTCACTTTATTATAACCACAGGGGACAGCAGGCATTATATCACACCTCTATACATGCATTGATTTATTTGCTTTGTCAATGTTTATTTATCTGATGAACAACTCTGGTTATCAGTTAAGCCTAATTGGGATAAACACCATGTGTTTGGATATGTAAATTAAAAAAAACAGCGTAAATGTACAGAACATAATAATGCAATACTTGTACAGAGGTGTGACATAATATATGCTTTCCCCCGTGAATCATCTAAAAATGTCTGCGCAATCCTTACCTGCTGGTTCATTGCAGCCACAGAGACATTACTACTGGCAGTACTGGCAGTAGCATCGCCCATACTCTCTCTCTCAGATGTTCTTCTTCTCGACTTGTCGATTGTGCTGGCTCTGTTGAGTCAACTAATGAATTTGTAGAGCGGTCGACACCATTTTCGTCACGGTCCACACTCAATGCACTAGCCTGAGTAACAATCTCCGATATATTTTGTGAGAAGGATGTCATACTTAATGATGAATGTGTACAACAATCCAAATTTGCCGCGAGAACCTATTAACTTCCGGGTCAATTACAGCTCAGGGGTCATCGCGCATCCCTTCGTTTGCATGCATGTGCGGCCCGGAAGAAATTTCAATTATATACATATAATGCGTTTGCGGCCCTGGAGCAATTTCTATTATAAACATTATATACACTGTTTTTATTATATAAAAATGAAGCCTTTTTCCGGGGGCAGGGAGGCTATGAATGTTGGAAGTAACTTTGGATTAGTTACACGGTAAAATGTGTGTATGTCGGAACCATTTTATTTGCAAATAAAACCCAACAACTCGGCATGTTATTTAGCAATTATATACATATAATTTGTGCGGTCCTGGAGTGCAGTTTTCATTATATATAAATAATGCACATTTTGTATTGTTATTATATATGATGACAACACGCCGATTGTACCATTATTGTGCAATTTGCATGGTTTATATAACATGGTAGATGCTATAGTTTACAGAGGAAATTATTTAAAAGGTTAAGTTATTCACATATAATTTCGATTACACTTACAGTGCAAACTTATTTATATATAGTGAGGAATTATTTCATATAATGATAAGTTTGTAATATTTATATAATGTGGTTATATGTATATGATATTGACATATAATGTAACCTATTATAAGTTATACTTATTTATATATAATGAGATACAACTAATTTCTTTACAAACAATATAAATATGACTTAAACATAAATAAATGTGTTTATTTGTTATTTGTATATAATTTTAAATATTCCACTTATGAACATATATTGTATTAGTCATACTTATTTATAAATAAATACAGCAACATAATTTGGTGTGACAATAGACTGTACTCCTACTTTGAAAAACCACAAATATCATTAAAACAATAAGCCTTAAGATTGGTGTTATAGCCCTATGGCCCTTTATTACGACCGCAAAAGAAAGTCATACGATTAATCACCTTTTCTGATTAGTACGCACCCATTACACCTTTTGGTAAACTTGGTATTCTTG